TTTCCCGGCCATTGCCAGGCCCTGTCGCTGCGTGTCCTGCATTACTGCCACACAGCCGCTCTGCAAGAGGCGGATACCTGCCTTACGGAGGATGAGGATGCTCTGAAATGGCCTCGGGAGGAGCAGCCTGGGGGAGGCTTTCCTTGCCATGGCTGACCTCTGGTGTGGTGGGGTAGATGTTTCCCCCTCCTCGCACAGTGCAGAGGCGCTCGATGTTGGCCCAGAGGATCAAGAGGCAGGCTTGGGCTATCACATGCGTAACCTTCACAGAGGTTACCGACCGCAGCCTTTACCAAAAAGCTCTTCTCAAACTTGCAAACTGAGGCTTTTAAAATTGGGCAAAACCAGGGTGGCTCTTGAGCTGCTGACATGTCCCTAGAGCTTTGTTAGCACGAGGGCTTTTGAGCAATCAAGATCTTCCCTGCAACGGCTGAGCCACCACCCACGCTGTGGCGTGTCCCTGGCGCCATCGTCATCTCTTATCTGTAAACCAGATCCCAGAGGGCCTCTGTCCTTGGCTCTCCCAGTTTGTTGGCCCTTGGCCACGTACAGGTTTCAGTGTGTGGCTTACTGGCTCTGGAAGGCTTTTTGATCTCCCATGAAGGTGTTTGAACTCTCAGGGAGGGCATCCAAGGGTTGAAGGAATTGCTTCTAGGGGGTTTTTGTTGGGTGGTTTGTTTTTGGTTTTTGTTTTTTTTTTTTCTTCTTTCCTACTTTCCACATGTGTTTTGTAATGTTTTCCAAATGTAAATAATTTTAGGTGTTCAGTCTTGGGACAGAAGAGTGTGTGTGTGTGCAGATCCCAGAACCATGTGTTCTCACTTAGCTCTGACCCATCTGTGGCAAGCACAGGACAGATGTGCTGCTCCCTACTGCAGATTTTTGTTTCTCTTGGCAAGGAAAGAGCTCCCTGCCCACACTCTTCCCTCCCTGCCATCGCTTGTTCCCTCCGCAGAGGATGCGAGCCGGGAAGCCTACCTTCCACCTTGGAGACGAATCCGAGGCTGCGCTTGAGGTCGGAGCAGATGGAGTGGAGGCACCAGCGGAACTTGGCATCACAGCGGTATTTGTTGGCTCCACAGGTGTCGTAACAAATGTCCAGCTGATTACAGCATTTGGTCATGGCAGGGATGCCCAAATCTAGCTGGGGAAAGAGAAAAGAAGTGTCCCTTGGCTGCCTCCTGGCTTCAGACTCAGACAGCTGCAACTGGGGGAGGTTTTGCAGAGCCCAACTGGCTGCTTTTCCAGAAGCTACCTCTGATAGCTGGGGCAGCAGCTGGGAAAACATGCTTCTCCCTCACTATGTAAAGAAAGTGGTTAGAGTAATGCAGATCCAATGCAGGATAGACCACATTCCCCTCTCTCCTGTCCATCATGGGGGATTAATTTCTGGTAGAGAGGCGGGGAACAGCCCCTCCATGACCATTTGCTAGTTTCTCTTTCCTCATTTTGCCACAACCCAACAATTCCTGCTTCTTGGCCTAATAAATCTGCTATAAGTGTTATTAATGTCTTATTTCTCACAGATGCGCTTGCAAGGTGAAGGACAAATACAGCTTGGTCAGGGCCTTCTGCTCGCTTGGAGGTAAACGGCAAGCTTAGCCAGTAACCATGGGGGTGATGGAGCAGAAGGCCTGTCTCCTGGAGAGACGGGACCCAGTAGCTTGTTATAAATTCTTCCTCTTTTTGGCCTTTCTCATGTAAATATTTAGGAGATGAGTTTTTTCTTCATTGCGCTCAGTGCTCATGACTGCCTGCATGAGGAGGAGGTTCCGCAGAAATGCCTATGAGGTTTGCAATGAAATGTAGTTTAAGGAACCCCACCTGCAGCCCTGCGTCCAGCTCGGGGCCCTCAGCACAAGAGGGACAAGGAGCTGTTGGATGGGGTCCAGGGGAGGCCACAGAAATGCCCCGAGGGCCGGAGCCCCTCTGCTGCGGGGCCAGGCTGGGGGAGCTGGGGGTGCTCAGCCTGGAGAGGAGGGGGCTGCGGGGAGGCCTTGGTGCAGCCTTGCAGCGCTGAAAGGGGGCTTATGAGAAAGGGGACAAACTTTTTAGCAGGGCCTGTTGCAGTAGGACAAGGGGTAATGGTTTTAAACTAAAAGAGGGGAGACTTAGACTAGATACAAGGAAGAAATTTGTTACACTGGGGGTGGTGAGGCACTGGCACAGGTTGCCCAGCGAGGCGGTGGAGGCCCCATCCCTGGGAACATCCCAGGCCAGGTTGGACGGGGCTGTGCGCACCCTGGGCTGGTTAAAGCTGTCCCTGGCACTGCAGGGGTTGGGCTGGGGGAGCTCTAAAGGTCCCTTCCCACCCAAAGCATTCCATGAGCTAATCTAACATGAAAAATGGGCCGTAAAGGGAGGGGTTTTCAGAGCAGGAATCTGCCTAATTGCTGCAGACTTCACCGGCAGCAGTAATGCGTGAGCTAAATAGTAATTCCTGCTCTCAGAGCATCCTGGGAGTGCTTTTCCTGGTGATTCCAATATGATTTTATTAATTGCCTTTAAAATAACAAGTGGGTGCAATATTAAAGCCCACAGGTTTATTTTAGTGCTTGGCAGAGGCAAAAAGCATGGGAGGGGACGAAGGGTCGGGTGTGGAGAATGCATTCAAGTATTGCTGTTTGCACATTTTGCAATGTTACTGAGCTGCCCAGCATTGAACATCTTCCCTGTCCTATCGCAGGGGCATGGGATTGATCAGGGCCTTGATAAAAATAAGTTTCTCCATGCTGGTGCTCTGCTTGGTCAGGTAACACCTTTTCTTCTTCTAGTGCTAACCTGCTCAGGGAACTTTCTCTTTTGGTACCTACCGAGACAAACAGAGCAGCAGGCCAGCCCTTCGTAAATGTGACTCCTGTCTGCGTGATTCCTGTTTCGCTGCCACCAGCAGTTGAGATCCGAATGCCTCCCTGACTGACAGTAAGTTAAGCAGCGCTCAGACTGACATGTTCGCCTTGCCGTTGACAGGCAGCCCTGTCTTTTGGCAGTCCCAGGTAGGTAGCTTGTCACCTCCTAACATCACATAAGTGATATTTCCTCCCTTTTCCAGAGCTCTGGCTTCAGCTGCGAAGAGAAGCCGTCACACAGGCAGTGCATAGCACAGCTAAGCCTTTTCCCTCCCCAATATTATTAGCTGGTTACCGTGATTAGAGAATTGCATCATTTGGGAATGGTGGGTGCGGCAGTACATACACTTTCGGGTACCTTGAGCCCCAGAAAATAGGAGCTACAGCCGTTGGGTTCTTGGGGTTTGTAGTGAGGTCGCGGCATTGGAGCCTTCCCTGAGAAAGAAAGGAAAAATGTTAGGAAAGGCGATCTTCCCAAGAGTAGCACCAAAAAGCAAGGAGTGTCAGGCAGCTCCCCTTTGGTCTGCATCCCCAAACACTTCATTCTCCTCCAGGAGATGCGGGGAGTGATGGATAGGTACTAGAGCTGGCTGAGACACTGGCCCTGCTCTCAGGTCAGTTCTGTCGAGGCTCTAGAGCCTGACTTAACTCGTCCCTCCTCTGGCATGGCCACGGGAGCACTGTGTTGTGTGTGAACTAGGTCCCCAGCGCTTCTCAAATGTTTAAACTGGTCTGAGTCCAGTCCCTAGGTCTGGGACTCTCCCCAGCTCTTACAAATGGGCAAGTCCCTCTTTGCAGAGTGGGGTTTTGCAGTTGAGCAGCCCTCCGTGCTAGAGCTAGTGCCTCAGACCTCCCAAATCTCTTAGGAGCTTTTTCACGTGCTTCTTGAGAGCTCTGCACAGCTGGGATCACCCAGATGTGCTTTTAACTCCTCCAAGAAACTACTAGCTAAACTACTAGCTTAGAAGGGGATTTCTTTCCATCCTCAGTTTGCTCGCAGAGTGTCAGTGAGCTGTGGATCTCTGCAAAATTGTGCTAGACCTTGCATGTCTGATCTTGCTCCGAGTAGGAGGTTGTCTTGGTCCGTTTTCTGCATGTGGTGATGCACTGCCGTGTTTTACAAATAGTTGCTATCCCTTTATTTCTGCCTTCCCTTAGTATGCTTCTTAATATGCATAGAGGAGCAAGAATTTCCTCTGTGAATAGTTATTTACCCAATGTAGAAAGAGTCCAGCAGACAGGCAGCTAACAGAAGCTTCAGCGGCAATTTAATCTGGTTTACTTTGCTTTGAAGGTGTGCAAGCCCTCCTGTCTGCCTGCCTGCCAGCCCATCCTGGGGCCTTGTGCATGGCTGACAAAGTGCTCTGGGTGTGAGGGGTGGAAATTGTCCACGTGGAAAGGAGATCTGTCTATTCCCTGCCCTGTCTCATCCTCTTTCTCTCGTCCCTACCTCAACACCCATCTCCATCTAACCTAACACCTCCTTTTTGGGGAGGACGAGACACCAGGCTGCTTCTGTGCCTTGACCCCTCTGTGCAAGGAGCTCATTTAAAGGTGGGAGAGGATTCTCCGCTGGAGAAGTCGTGGAGACCACCCCTCATGGAGCTGGGTTTCTCTGTATTGTCCCTTGATCTGTGTTCAGTGCTTGTTCCGTTTCTGTCCCAGCTGGGTTTATAACAGGGAGTTCTCAAATGCAGAGTGAGGTGTTAAAACAAGACATCTGAACCCTGCTCTGGGAAAACTTTGCAAGCTGTGTGAATGCTCCGGAAAAAACACGTGTGAGTTGAGCCTTCTGTAAGTCCGTCACCTCTAGGGTTAAGTTTCTGCTTCCCTGAGCACCACTAGAGAATTTATATAGACATAAAATAGATGTAATTTGCCCCTTCAGGCAGGGTTGGGTTCTTTTAAACTCGATTTCCACTGTTTTCTTCTTGTCAGCACTGATAATCATTTAAGAAGTTTTTCCCCTTTTTTCTGTCAAGGTACCTCAAGTACCAGTGGTTAATATAGCCAGAGATCTACTGTGTTCTTGAGAAGACCTCACAGCCAAATGTCTCAAAAGGTCTTACATAGGAAATTTGAAATTAAAAATTGCCGGTTTTGTTTAAACAACAGATTTGCAACAAATAAACAACAAACTCAAATCCTGTCCAGCCGTGAGACGCCAATAGCCAATTTTCTCCGAGCCTACAGAAATACAGTGTGCATCAAGGATTTAGCTGTCTGCAAGCCAAGATAAAGCTCTCCGGCTGACATTACCACCGGGTGATGGTGTTTGTGTGGGAAGGTAATTCTCAGTACAGCAGTTACTACTGTGTTTCTACCTTTTGGGTCTCTTTTGAATAGGTCAGATCTGCTTCATGCTCCAGATGTAATTTTCTAGTGCAGAAAGCATTGTTATTTTGAGCAGGTAGGGCTGAGTTAACGGGAGACAAAGAGCACAAATCAGTTGGTTGCAGCACACCATCATTATAGGATTATCTTCGCACCAAAACATAACTTAAGTCCGTTGAGGTATGCTGATGCAAGGTAATTTCTGAGTTCATGACACGTTGCACTATTTTGGTGGCTATGCTATAGAGAGACGGAATTATGTCTGTATATATTTATGGCTGAATCTATAACTCAAGGCTCCCAAGCAGTATAATGAGAGGAGGGCTGCACCCAGGTCTCGGTGCAATTTGCAGCCTAGTTGCTCTTTTGGAAGGGGGTGAGAATTGGGACTCAGAATTCAAATGTTCCTGAACTGAGGTAGGAGGCAGAGGAACGTTCAAAATCCAAGGTGGATTTTGCAGGATGGGGTCAAATTTTAATGACTTGCTTGTAATACGGACGATAAGTTATGTTCCTGCAGCACATTGGCAATTAACGGGATAAGGTGGCAAGTCAGAGTAGGATTGAGACTGTCTGGGGATATGGAGATAACTGAGTTTCCAGAGAAAACCTTCCATTAAGCTGCAGTTACAGCTTTATAATGTCTTAGAAAGTTGTCTGAGGGGGTGGGGGTGGGGGGGAAATCTCACATGAGAACTGTGGTGATCAACAAAACATTTGAACTGCCTTCAAGATACACCCTTGTAGGAAACCTGCCCACCTCCTCCCTGTAAAACAAAGTTTAATCATCTGTAAAGTGCACCTTTGTGAACTCTTTCTTGGCTAGACAAAGTCCCAGACACCACAGTTAACCTCTCTCCCACATCTTGTTTTCTAGCTACCAGGAAAACAAAAGCAAAGCAGAAATAATAAGCGTTCCTGACTCTACATGAGCATCGACTCGCTGCTCTTGTTATCATTTATTGCTCGCCCGTCCTTGTAGGCACGTCTGCGATGGGGAAGGGACTTGGTGGGTCACGCCGGCTGTTTTGGTACTTGCGTTTCACCAGGGGCCTGTTGTGGCCTGTCTGCTTGCTGCAGGGCATCACTGGGGGAGAGATACCAGCAGGCAGCTGCGAGCACAGCGGGACCTGCCCAGCAGCACGCTGAAGAGCGACGCTGACGTGTGGAAGCACAGCATTGCTGAGGAAGCCTGTTCTTTGGAAGAAGATATACTTCAGGGCGCTGCCTTGTTGGCACGGCCTTAGAGGAGAAGCTGAAGTTGAGTTTGCAATGGGAAGCGAGTTTCCCTGATGCATTTTAATACCTCCAGGCTGTTGTAGCTGTGCCAAGAGACTGGAAAACAGCCAACTGGCTAGAGCGGCTGCTGGCGATGCAGGAGGGCTCAGACACTGCAGTGCTGGTACACTGGCAGGGGAAAGTGAATGTTTTTCTGGGTGAATAGGTGGTCTCGGGGCTCCTCGCTGTATCGAGCATTGTTATTTCTCTGCCCTAGGCAAGCGGGCGTTGGGCAGACGTTGCCCACGCTTACCACAGCCTTTTTGCGCTGTGTTGGAGAGCCTGACTTTGAAGGCTCTATTCCCACAGCCTGGATGTGTGCCTCTTCATCTTAAGCCCCTGAGGACCAAATGCTGGGCAAAACATTGAAGTGCTGCCTGGCCAGACAGCTGAAGGAGGCTGTCAGAGGATTTACTCCCAGTTCAGGCTGTTTCCCCCCATGAGATGTCCAGAGAGATTTTGTAAGGAGGCGGAGATATTTGCCAGCAAATGCTGGTGTAACCTGAATGTCCTGATTTAAGGGAGGAATCCATCAAGTTGTGTGTTTTCAGACCTCGCTAGCTGCTGAAAAATCAGGAGAGTCTTACAGCCAGAACAGCTAAGCGCTTCGTGCTCAGCTGAAGATGGATGTGGCAATCACAGGTGAGTCCTGACCTTTATCGTGGCAAAATAAGCTATTAGCAGCGTCTCTTGGCTGAAATGAAAGTAGAAGGCGTAACTTTTGCTTCGTGCCTGGGGAAAAAAGCAATCGGGCTCTGATTCAGCAGCAAGATGGTGAAGATGGTTTGTGTTCATTCTTCTGGGCACAGACACCTGGTCTCACTGGTTGAGGATGGTCCCTGCATCCCCTCCACTTGGGATTTGCAATGTCTGCGCTAGAGACCAGCACGGACAAATGGTCCTGGAAGGGCCCAGCAAGAAGACCCTTGGAGGCGCGTGGGCAGCGTTTCAATAGTTTCCTCCTTCAGCCGGTGATTAATGAGTTGTTCAGCAGAGGACGAGAACAGGGCTAACGATGCGCTTGTTTGTTTCCCTTCGTAGGTAAAGCATTTCTCCAATAAGACACAGGATGCTCTCAGGGAGGAGGCAGGCATTTGCGCTGCTCTGTGGAGATGCTCTTCCCCCTGCCCAGAGTGCAGGGCCGGGGAGAGCCCCAGCCTCGGGATGTGCCCAAGAGCCACGATTTCTCCGGGACTTGGTGAGTCCTGAGACCCCCTGAAACGAGCTCTGAATATCAGCCTTCCCACACCTTGCCTCAGGCACGCTGCAGTACCGGCCATGTTATGCCCACTACCAGGGTTTTCAGTCCCTACGTTAAGAAGGGCAAGTCCCTTTCCACTCCGAATTTGGAGCACGGTGTGGACCTAAAGGGAGGTCGTCGCGCACG